ATTGACTTGGCATTTTTAACATCACTCTCTAGACCATTCCACAATCCAACTCCTTGGATTGAGGTAGACCTTCCCTTCAGACTAGTTCTGAATTTTGGTTTGACAAATATCTCTATCCCCTTAAGATTATAACAACTTTGTCTTTTAACAAAATTTATTTGGATATTTAATGGTAATGTGTTATTTTGAGCCCTATGCATAACTGATAAAATACTGTAATCTACCAAATCATGGAACTTCAATAACTTCAGTTGATAAAATAATGTGCTTGATGGGTGACAGTAATGCTTTCTGGTGATAATTCTTACAGCTCTCTTCTGTAAAATAAAAATAGGTTTTGTAAATGTTTTACATGCTTTCCCCCAAACATCAATGCAATAGATTAAATGTGGAACAATGATTGTGTTATACAACATGTACAGAGTATCCTGATGCATGCTCAATAATCCAGGTAGAAAAATCTAAAAAAGTTAAATCTGGTCCTCTGGACATTCAAAAAAACAAAACAAAGCAAATCAACAAAAAAATGTAGAAACGTTTCGTCTCTCATCCGAGAGACTTCCTCAGTCTGAGGTGCTGTTTTCAGCTCAGTCTCTTAAATAGCACCGTCTCAGAGTGGATCAACCAGTTTGCTGCTGACAACCAAAACCAGCTGATCACATGCTCAAGAAGGACCATCAGCCTAACAATGGATCATTAGCACACTGATGGCTGTTTACTGTTCACAGAGGGCTGAGTGATACTAGCAATCACAGCATTGTAAGAGGAGGACAGTTGAACCCGGAGGCCTCCACCCCTGTTTAATGATGGACGATTTCTTTTCACAAAGATGGCCTCCTTTACTCCTCTCTCAAACCATCGTTCCTCTCTGTCCAGGATGTGAACATCTTCATCCCTGAAAGAGTGACCGCTGGCCTGGAGATGAGTGTAGACCGCAGAGTCCTGGCCTGATGATGTTGATCTTCTGTGCTGGGCCATCCTTTTGGCCAGTGGCTGTTTAGTTTCCCCGATGTAAGACTGATCACAGCCCTCCTGACACTGAACAGCATACACAACATTACTCTGTTTGTGCCGGGGGACTGGATCTTTGGGATGAACCAGTCTTTGCCGTAATGTATTTTGGGGTTTAAAAGCCACTCAGAATAAAAACTTGTCATGTAAACACCCTGTTTGGGTTATTTTTTATTTATTCAGCAAGAACCGAAATAATTTGTGATCAGAACGAAACGGGTAGTTTACGCCGATTCATATCTCGAACGGTGCGCATGTAAACACTTGATCTGTTCGTTTTTATCTGAAGGTGAAAAACTGACCTGACTGCGCATGTGCGACTTTATCATTTCCGCCTGGCTAATGCTAATAATATTAGCATGTCTGAGAAGTAAAACTGGTCGGTGAGGGACAACATTTCTACTACAAACTTTGAAAGATCTCAAAATGATCTGTATTTCCTGTAGCTCAGTCAGAGAGTGCAGCAACGTCTCCACTGTCATTAAAACTTGTCACGGGTCCATTTTGGGCACTCAGGTTTGTTTACGTTCATCAAGGAAGTAAACCGGAAGTATAACTTCTCCTTCTGTGTTTTTTTTAAGGAGAGTTTACCACTCTGCACATGTCAGTACTTCTGTTAGAACAAAGCCCGCTGCATGTAAATGCTCATTGTGCCCATGTAAACGATACATTTGAATTATTTTTAACCTGAAATCATTTCAATCCGGTCAAAAAAAATTGCGCATGTAAACATAGCTACTGTGTGGTGGAGAATGTTCTCTGCACCTGCATCAGCGTGTGGCACGACAGCTGCACTGCTGCTGAGTGGATGGCTCTGCAGAAGGAGGCTGCGACTGTGGGGAGCAGCCTTCCCACCACCTCGGACCTCTACACATCACAATGCAAGGGGAAGGTGCTCTGCATCATGAAGGACTCCACTCAGCCTGCACATAGTCTGTTACAGCAGCAGGCGGCTGAGGAGCATTCAGAGCAAGACCACCAGGCTCAGAAACAGTTTCTTCCATTCAGCTGTCAAGACTGCTGAACTCGAGCTGAACTTAATTTAGCCTCATCTTACATTTTTAAACTTTATTTATTTATGCACACACGCACGTGTGTATGTGTGTGTATTTGGGTACATGTGTAAATGTATATATATTTATACTATTTTATATTTATTTATTTATTACTTGTTAGGTTTCTTGCTCTGGGTCCTGAGTCTAAATTTCGTACCGTATACATGAGCTGGTATTAGGGGTGCACCGATTTCAATTTTCAGGCCGATCACCGATCACCGATTTTTTGAAAGTCTGAACTGCCGATTCCGATTTTGGCCGATACCGATTTTTTTTTATAAGCAACAGTGTCAGGTGTTACAAGATCACAATGCACCTTCAATTTACCAATCTTATTTTATTGTAAAACATACCCTTGAAAAATACCCTAGAAACAATACAAACTTGTTGTTTTAACTTGTCATGAGGTAGTATTCTGAAATATAAATGAAGTTTACACAATTTTTGTTAAAACTATAAAATTAACTAAAAAAAAATGTTCAGTTCCTTCAACTCTTTCACTTGTTACATTTAAAAAAAAAAAAAGATAATGCAACAAGTGTAACATTTTCAAGTCAGTGGGTAATAAGAACTAACACTGGTAAGTTAGTTCTCACAGACTTATTCCAGTCACTTTCATTAGTGGCAGGTTTTTCTTGATGAACAAAAGCATTTCTGCTTTGTCACCAGACAGGCGACTTCTTTTCTCATCTACTACATGTCCAGCCAAGCTAAACAGGCGCTCGCTTTCAACGCTTGTGCATGGGGCAGAGAGATAGGTTCGGGCAAGTAGAGCAAGATGAGGGAAACGATTTTCATTGATCTTCCAGTAGACCAATGGGTCCTGGCTCCTTTCGACAGGAACCTCAGATAGGTAGTTCTGTACCTGCATAGCTGAAGGGCTGGCCAGCTGTTGCTCCTGTTCAATGTTCTCCTTCAAGATTTTGTCGTGAGCTGCAAACAGTAGACTACGCCTTTTGGCTGCAGGTTCATCGATATCAGGAGGTCCCACTTCAGAGGATGTTCCTGCAGCAGGTGTGCATCTGGTCTCCCCCTCTGCAAGTTTGGTCAAAAGGAGCAGTTTCACGTCATCTTTCACCTCTGCTGAGAAGTAGCGATTCTTGTACCTTGTTTTGCATAAACAAAGAAAGATGGGTCAATCATTGTGTTTTGTATACATTAACAGTTTTTATGACTTGCATGTAAATAAAGAAATGCATTTCAATCAATAAATTTTTATTTTTAATTTAATTTAAATGTTTGTTGAAATATAGTAGTAGGCTAAAAGTCATTATGGCTAAAATAGAATGTTAATAGTTACTTGCCTTGGATCCAGAACAGTGGCCAAGCTGTACAGGGGCTCATGCTCAATGTTGCTGAATCTTCTCACAACAGCCTCCAGCAACGTAGCTTTGGCTGTACCCACGCCACGGTCTGTGCTCGCTTGCCTCTCCAAAATCCGCTTGAGTGCAGTGATGGCTGGGATGACATCTGCTGCTGTAGCTGTTGATGAGCTAATCTCCTTTGTGAGTTCCTCAAAAGGTGCAAGAATGGTGAGCACATTGTCCAGTAGCTCCCACTGGTGTGCTGTGAGTGTGGCTGGTAACTCATGCTCAGCAGCATACACGCCAATAGCACGTCTCTGCTCCAACAGCGACTGCAGCATGTAGACTGTGCTGTTCCACCTCGTTGAAACGTCTTGCTGTAATCGTTTCCTGGGTTGACCTAACTGTGTCTGTATGTCATAAAGTCGGGAATAGGCAAGTGATGAATGCTTAAAATGTCCAACAATTCTCCTTCCTGTTGCCACCATGTCTGTGATGCTGCGCTGCGCCAGCTGTCCCTCATTTACAACCAGTTGCAGTGTGTGTGCCAGGCAGGGTAAACTTTTCAGGTTGATATCATCCAGCGCTTTGGCCATATTACGAGCATTATCCCGTAAAACAACGTGAACTCTTCCATGATCGATTTCCCAGTGATTCAGCATCGCCTTAAACTCTGCTGATAAATTGGCCGCAGTGTGAGACACCACCATTTCTTTACAGTTTAAGAGTACTTGATGACGTTCGAACTGTTCGTCAATCCACTGTGCAGTAAAACTTAACATGGACATTAAACTTACATCAGAAGTCCAGATGTCTGTTGTAAAGCTGAGTGTATTTGTATTAGCTTTTAGCAGGCTGCGGGTGTCTCTCGAAACTTGGCTGAACAACTCCGGTAATGCAACATCAGAAAAATATTTCCGACTCGGCATATTATATCGTGGGCACACGTGCTGCATCAAGCTTCTAAAACCTTTGTCCTCAACGACTGAAAATGGCTGGTCGTCTAATGCCATGAACTCCATCACTTTCCTCGTGGTAGCTTTGCTCTTTTCGTTGCTCATAAAAGCTAACAGCGACCCACCGACTGCCTCTTTGTTAGCGCTAGCTTTAGCATTAGCCTTAGCTTGGTTGCTCTCTTCAAACATTGCATACTTGGCGGCGTGGTGATTTCTTAAATGGCGAACGAGGTTTGTTGTATTAAAGGTTTTGGTGGTGGCTCCACCACGACTTACTTCGGCTTTACACGAATTGCAAATTGCGATCTTTGGCTCATTTTCTTTTACAGCGTAGAACTTCCAAACCGACGACATGGCTGCTCCGAGTGACCTGTGTGTGAGCTCTCACAGTGGAGCAAAAGGGGACAGCAGCTGATTTTCAGACCTTTCCGGAGGCAGATAAGATCGGTGGATAAAATCGGCTTCTCATTTAAAGATCGGCCGATCGCCGATCTCCCCAAATTAAGGAAATCGGGGCCGATCGATCGGCCGGCCGATTTATCGGTGCACCCCTAGCTGGTATGACAATAAAAATCCTTGAATCCTTGAAATAATTCAAGTTAAACTTTATTAAACATTTCCTCTAATCTATAAAATGAGTTAAACATTTATAGCCGGTGTTTTGCGATTGTTACCTGTAGTCGGACAGGATAGGGTTAGCGTCAGTCTCCTCCTGTCCTCTGCCTTCAGAGTTCAGCAGGTTGAGAAGATCCGCTCGATGGATGGTGTGAAGCAACTGAGAGAGAAAAGAAGAGTTCTCCAGCAGTCCTCTCTCCTCCAGTCTCAAGAACAGCCCCTTGGCATCCGTGATCTGTAGAAGTACAATTAACAAACACACAATGACTCATTTTGGAAAGAGGAACTACAGAAAGCATGTCGAGATATGAGTGTACAGGTGTGCTGTAGAAAGCAGCACGCTGTCGGTCTGTTTCACATGTTTTGTTAAAACACATCAGACAACTGCAGATGCTTTATTATTCTCACCCCCTCGAGCCGCTTCCTGTTAACAACATCACTGCACAGGAAGCAAAGCTCTGCCGCCTCAGAGGAGTCCAGCTCCTCGTCAATCTGCGACAACAGCAGCAGGTCCATCTCCTGCCAGCTGCCACCAGCACACACCTGGAGTTCAGCTTCCTGTTCTCGGGTTAGATCTGTCAGATAAGAGAACTTAAATAGAGACAATCGCAGATAAAACGGCTCATTTAAAGATCCACACGTCACAAACAGGCAGGTTAAAACTGAAAAAAGTGGCAAAAGAAACCCTTAAAAAACATAATTAACCTGTCAAATAACAACATGACCCATCACACACGGGTTACACCCAAGTGGAACAGCGGGAAACTATTGAGTTGCCTGATGAGCAGTTAGGGATAAGGTGTTTTGCTCAAGAACACGACTTGTGGGCATGGTGGGGAATTGTTCCTGTGACTTTCAGCTGCACTACCACTGCTCCACAGCTGCCCTTCCTCTATAGGAAGCTGTCATCTCTGGATGAAACCGTTTCAAAATAGGATTATCACAGCCACTATCATGTTTGTGTATAAAACATTAAATCGGGGAAAGGTTCTTTTTTTAAATTTTACTTCCGGTGTTAGACTTCACACCTGGGTGACGTCATTGAAAAAAGCTGGTCTCCCAAAAATTAACTTGAGAACAAGATTCTACCCTAAAACAATTACTTCTGATAGAACAGCACTAAAGTCCACGCGTGTAGTTCACGCAGTTTCCTGTTAGCATGTTAGCATAAATTAAAGTACGATGTTGTGAGTGTAGATCAATAACACAATAAACCAGCTGAAAACCCGGAGAAATGTCTCTGCTGTTGTTGTTCACTCACGGAATTCGTCTCCTGAGTAAAAACACTCATAAATACAATCTTCGTTTTGCTAGTTAAGTCTTCCTAAAGACTGCCGCCGAAAAATGGTTTCAGTTTTGAAGGAAATGACGTAACGTCTCACCCTAACACAATAAAAGCAAAATTCATTCAACCTTTATTTAAACAGGTAAAATCCCATTGAGCCTCGAGGACTCATTTACAAGAGACCTGATTTCAACAAAGAATGATGACAACAATAGACAGCCACAAAAAGGCATACAGATTTTTTTTTATTTTTGTTTTTACAAATAACATGGCAAAAAAAGTAACAAAGAACAGCTAGATTATAAGGCGAATTTATAAAACTAAAAACAGGAACATGTCTGCATTGGTCCTTGCCAGGAGTCCAACAGATTCTTTAAGCCACTTATTAGAGAGGTCAAGGTTGAGAGCTTCAGGTCTTTTTGTAAGATATTCCAGGAAACAAAAAAATACACTCATACATAGACGTTTGTGCACAAAAGTTTAGATTTAATTTAAGTACTTTGAGTTATTATGTTTATTAGTGTACTCTAACAAACTGTGTTACACAGATTAGTAATTTAAAATGGGATGTCATTTTTATGTATTTATTTTTGCACAAATTTTTATTTTGAAGGGAGCAGCTGTTTCCGGTTTCAAAGTGCGTTTTGCTGAGACATTAAATGAACTTCATAACACTGTTGTTTTTAAACGTTTTACAATTTATTTATTTCTCTGAAGTTTAAAAAAAAAAAAAGTTTTCAGGTCTTAAGTTACAAAACTCCTCTCCTTTACGTGTCCTTCTAAATGTGTCAAGTCTTGCACGAATAAACCAAAGTGCACATGAAAGTGATAAATGGACAATAAACTTTAAATGAGTGCTCAGGATGGTTGGACTTTTACATTTGATTCTGGAGGACGGCGGGAGGCAAAAGTACGAAAGTATTCTCTTGCAGACTGAAAGACATCATCAGGTTTTCTCAGCAGCAAAAAGGCCAGGAAGTCAGAGAGGAGGGCTCGGACCTCTGGGTGCTCTTTCAGGTACGAAGCACGATCTGCGTGTAGTTCCTCCTGCCACAGACAAATATAAACACACATCCAAACTATGATCTGTTTGTTTTAGGAAAAACGGTTTTAAAATAAATGTGATTATGTATCGTGTGTCTGAATGAATAAAAACATGTGTAAAACAGTTTAATTGTGTGAGAACATAAAGAGTCACCTTTCTGTCCAAGAAGTCACAATGTGTTTGCATGTCTTTGTCCCACTCAAGAGGGATCTTCTCTAAACCAAACAAACATTGTCAGTGAATTTTCTGTGATGGGAGGGAATCCTTCTTGTGCCTGTGTGGGAACATGTACCTCTCTCTGTTTTGGATGGCAGATGTAGAAGCTTCATGGTGACTGGTGATCCCAGCTGTGCTCTGCTGACCAAGTGCCTGATGACAGATCAACAACTGTTTACTAAAGTAACAAAAATAAATAATCCAGTTTAACAGAGTGAGCATGCAGTCATCATGGTGAGTCTCTTTGTGCACCTCTAGTATCACTTCCTTCAGTGGTTTTACAAAACTATCCATGAATTTGACAATAAACACGCATAAACAAATTCTCTGATAACTTTAGTTTCTTGTTTTATTTACGTTTTTAAATTGTCAGGTTGTCAATTTAAATGTAAAATTGTTGGCAAATGCGTGTCAGACATGTCTGATTGACCACATAAAAGTAACAGGTGGTACACCGATGTCCCAGTCTCTGAGGGATTTGACTGAACCTGAGTGAATGTTTGTAGATTTTGAACAGAGGCAGGTTCTATTTCGTATAGGCTTCGCCCTTTAAGACTGTCGCTGGTGGGTTTATCCCTAGGCGCTCAGCACTACACTGAAAAACTTTAGTCCACGCCCACCTGCTTTGTATGGGAATCACCCCCCGAGCCGTATAAATTACAGTGAGACCGGGTAATCGGCTTCCATTTTTTCTTCAGCCAGCTAGCTAGCACTGTCAAAAGAACGAAGAAGGAAAAGTTGTCCAGCTTTGACCGGCACAACCTTTGCTAAGGATGTCTGGGTCTCCACCATGCCAACCTCCTGCCGTCCCAGTGAGCTCTTCCTCCCCGAAGAGAAGCAGATGAGCAGCCTTGTTCAAGGTAAGCGCAGAGGAGTGCTTTTCCGTGGCGGGCCGCTACTTGCTGGACGACGCCACAGCCTTTTTTAACGTGTTTTGTTCTTGCGGTAATCAAAAGTTTTCTTCAAAAGGCGATGTTAGCAGCAGCCCGGCTGAATGCTTTACTGTGGAGGGCCGCTACTCGCTGGACGACGCCACCGCCTTTTCTAAAGTGTTTTGTCCTCGTGGTAATCAAATGATTTCCTCAAAAGGCGATGTTAGCAGCAGCCCCGCTGAATGCTTTTCCGTGGAGGTCCGCTACTCGCTGGACGACGCCACCGCCTTTTCTAACGTGTTTTTTTTTTCTCGAGGTAAATCGGATGATTCCCTCGAAAAAGACGTTGTTGGCAGCAGCTCCGCTGAGTGTTTTTTTTCTGTGGCGGGACGCTATGCGTGGGACGACGCCACCGCCTTCTTTGATGCAGAGTCAAGCAGTGAATCAAATGATTCCTCCGAGAAAGGCGATGCGGAGCTGCCCCTTCCCTCCTGGAGAGCGTAGTGACGGAAGACAAGTGGCTGAGCCGATGCTCAGCCACCTCGGATCTTCCCACGTCAGCGACCACACCACTCCCAGCCATCGGCGCTCTCCTCTCGGAGCTGCCCGACATAATCCAGGAGGATGTTAACACAAGGGACTTTCCGTCCCTCACCTCCCTCCGCCCTGATCGGATGGTCTGATGGCAAGGTTGGCTCCGCCCCGACTCGTTGCCTTGACCCCATCTGGCCTTGCTGTCCAGCTGTGACATCACACTGGAACGAGGCTGCAGCTGGGCCGGCAAGCTGAAGACATCCGTCTCCACCTTCACCTCCATCTCCAGAGTGAAGGGTTTTACCGATCTGTGTTTTTTTCCCTCGGTTCCCCCCCGCCCGCGGAGCCAACCCTGGCGGTGGCACTTGGGGCAAACGCTTCCAGGATGGACCAGCAATCTGTCCCTCCAGGGAAGCATGACCAGATGGTGACAAGGTCTCCAACCGAGTTCACCAGCGCTCACAGACGGCTGCAACGAACAACAACGTCGCCCTGCTGGCCTACTGCATCTCTAAGAGGCTGGAAGAAGCAGACCTGCTGGAGGAGACAAAGAGCTCTCTCTCTGTAAAGCTGCTGATGTCATCTTAAACATGTGCCACCTCTGCGATCTGCCTGTCCCGCATCGCCACCTAGATGACCATGATCCAGAGGACCACTTGGCTCTACCTCTCGCCATCCTTGTCAGAGAGGCTGCAGAAAGACCTGCTGGAGGGCCCTGTCACCCCAGAGGCGCTGTTCGGGGCCAACTTCAGGACCATCCTTGAGAAATCACTGAGGGCCGAGGAGGTCTCAGAGACTGTACACCATCTGGTGACGTTATAGTCCATCTGCTCCTACGGCCGCTGGAGGGACCGCCTTGGCCAGCAACAGCACCAGAGGCGCTCCACAGCTGTGGTAGCGACTTCATGCCCCGGTCCTCCGCCGGCCCCCTCCACCAGGTAACAGATCCTTGAGGGGAAGGTATGTGTTTTTTGATGATGTATGTTTTTGATATAAAACAGAAACACCTCTGAAAGTAAAGTTGTTCATCTGAGACTGTCAGATCAGCTGATCTCTCAGCTGCCTTCACACATTCCCCACACAGAACGAGCCAGTAACCTCTAAACAGCGTTTTAAATGGCACCGCAGTTCAGTAAATATCACAAAACACTCGTCTGCCACGTCAGCTAAAATGATGTTTTTTTAGCAGACCGGGTCTGGTAAAATCCCTCGTTTTTCAGCCAGAGCCCATTTTTAATTTCTGCTGTTTTCTGCCCACTCACAGCGCAGCTGGAGTAAATGTGTTTTCTCCATGCCAGCTGCAGCCTCCACCGAAACGGCGTCTCACTCAGAAAGCGCTCACGCCTCCTCTCCGTGCGCGCTGGCTCACCTCAGCTCTATGTGAGACCGCAGCCTGGGCCCAGCACAGAGGCACACATACAGCCTTTTTCTGTCGGAGCCCCCATTGGGTTCCCCCGGAGAATCTCTGGAGCGATTGATGGCAGTAAGGATTTTTTAGTCTGGTTGACGTTCATGAGAAACATGACACAACACAAATGCGTGCCCGCTCTCCGAGCGCTACTCAGAGTGGCAGCGAGTGTGTTCCCTGGACAGATGGACAGACCATCTGATTAGAAGGGGTTATAAGCTGCAGTTCACAGCTCAACCCCCACCGTTCAGAGGGATTATAGAGACGGTTCTGTCTTCTCCAGAACATAGCTCGTCTCTCCAGTCAGAAGTTCAGGAATTTCTGATGAAAAACGTGATTTCCAGAGCTCCCAACAGAGGAAAATACTTTTTTTTTTCCTCCCACTACTTCCTGGTTCGGATTTTTTTTTAAAAACCCGGAGGGATGAGACCCATTCTCGACCTGTTCATGTTCAACAATTTGATCATGGGGAGACAATTCCACATGCTGACAAACAGCTGCTGGAGAACTTCACCAGAACGACTGGTTTTCACCTCCATAGATCTGAAGAGCGCATATTTCACATTTCCATCATTCTGAAACACCCCACACACGGTCTTGAAATGCATGGAGATGGCTCTGCAGTCGTTACACATGGCAGGAATGAGAAATCTTTTTATCTGGACGATCTGCTCTTTTTAGCTCAGTCTAGTTAGAAAGCTGTCGCACAGACCAAAATGCTAGTTTTACATCTGCTAAACCTGGGGTTTCTATAAACTGGGAAAACCTTCCGTTCGTCCGTCCCAGATGATTGTTTATCTGGAAGTGGAGCTAAACTCAACTGCAATGAGAGCCGTTTATTACAGCTGAGAGCCGAAGCTCTATCAGCTCAGCTCCTCCGTGTCAAACCCAGCTCTGCCATATCAAACCCAGCTCCGCCGTGTCAAACCCTGCAGCATAGTGACAGTTCTGCCTGTCATGCGACTCCTGGGACGATGTCAGCGGCCCACATTGTGGTTCCGCTGGGCCTACTTCACATGAGACGCCTTCAGAGATGGTTCACCTGCCTCCGCATAGATCTTGTGCGCCAGAAGAGGTGGATTATCTTTGTGTCTCCCCTCCGTGAGAACCGATCTGAATCACTGGGAAAACCCCCTCATTCTGTCAGAGGGAGTTCCCATCAGCAGGCCTACATCACACGTCTCAGTTTTTCACAGACACGTTCCTGTCGAGCTGGGAGGAATGTGTCTGTCCCAAGCAGTGGGAACACAGTGGCTGGACCACATGTCGCTTTACATAATGTGCTAGAATGTTTTTCACCGTCTGAAACGTGACTCAGCATTTTGCCCCTGCTGCGAGATCAGCATTTTCTGATCCACACAGACAACAAGTGACGGCAGTTAACATAAACAATCAGAGAGGTGTGCGCTCAGCCAAACTGTTACGTATCGCAAAACAGCTGTTGTGTTGGCCACACAGGAACCTGCTCTCCATCAGAGCAGTGGACTTTCCCAGCATTCCTGAACAGGTGAGCGGATATCGTGTCGAGGGGCGGTCCCCGCCACAGAGACTGGAGCCTCCATCCCAAGCTGATTTCTCGGATTTTGGAGCAGGTTTGGCCGAGCAGCAGTGGATCTGTCCGCCACACGGGAGAACGCCCAGTGTCAATTATTGTTCTCACTGAGCCCACGAGACGACCCACCATTAGGTGTGGACCCCTTCGCTCACAACCCGTGGCCAAAAATGCTTCTTTATGTGTTCCCTCCAGTCCTGCCGATATCACAGACCCTGGACCGGGTTCGGGAGGAAGTACCGTCAGTCATCCTCGTAGCTCCTGAATGCATATGCGCTCCGTGGTTTCTGAATCTGCAGCGACTAATATCGGGTCTGCTTTGGAAACTGCTGTGGGGGGGTGGGCGCTTTCCTCCAGGCAGGAAGAGCGATCAGGAGTTACCCAGAAATCGGTCAGCATCTTTGGGTCTGTCCGCTGAACAGATCCGTTTAGAAAAGATGGGCCTCCCACAGGATGTGGTGCGTACGTTCAGGATGCACGTGCTGCTTCCACCCCAACGCTGCACACATCAAGTGGACAGTTTTTTTCAGCGCTGGTGCACAGAGAAAGGCGTCTGTTACTCCCTCATGTCTCAGAATTCAAGCTGACGGCAGTTCAGATTAGAGGATGACATTTTTTCGGGAGTACTGCCGGTCACGTGATTCCGGCGGGACCGGAGTCAACCTCATTATAACTCACGTGACCGGGACGTGACCGGACTGAAAGCTAACGGGAGCAGACAGGAGCAGGAACCGATCAATAACCAAAAGTGAAAATGAAACAAAACAAAAAAAAAAACACGGGCGCAGCTATTTTCTAGTTTTCTTTCAGTAAGCCTTCACTTTAACACAAGTCAAAAGAACTACATTTCCCAGGAGTCAAGTGTTCGAGCCGTAGCTTTTCACTAAGAGGAGGAGGAGCAGCGAGCAAAGCGGTACCGAGTCTGAAAATAGTTTGCAACGCAAGGTAAGAAGTAACTTTCTGTCTATTAAACTCACAGAACAGGCAGGAAAGTGTCAAATAACCCTGAACTCATAAGAGTTGTGTTGGTGCTGTGCTGCTTTAAACTTTAGTCTCAGCTGTGAGGAGCTGCGGGGAGTCGGACTTTGTAAATGAACAGACTCAAAGAGCGCATTTTTCTCCACCTTGTCCCTTTTAATTGAACAATTATGCTCTGCTTTGTTATGTGGGTTTTTAGGTTAAAATCTTCATTATCTGTTGCTGTTTGAAATGTAAAAAAAAAAAACAACCTCATCCTGGTTAAAGTGCACGCATTCTCCGGTAAAAATATCCCAGTTTTTATATGAAAGGCTGGTTACATATACATTATAATAACTGTTATTGTAGGGGGGACATATTGGTGTGAGGTCTGTGGGTCCCCACCATAACTTTTTAAATAAAGTAGCTGCTATTTCCTGCATTTTGGTGTATTTTAACAGGTTTAAAACATTTATGTTTACCTACATAAGTAAATCCTTTATTCAATAATTGTTCTAGAAAGCATGGCACAAGAAGTAGCACTAAGCTTGTTGTTTGTCTTTAATTTAATTTAATTTTTCTACCTAACACAGGAAGCTGTTAGCTCTGGAAGCAAACTGTTAAACAGCTTTGGACACAAAGACCCTTGTCACACACTTCAACAGAGCAGGTAAGATACATAAAATCTTGTGATCTCTGCCTGGTGAGGCTGATTGAATAATTATAAAATATGATAAGTGAAATAAATAAAGAAAAATTGAGCTTCTGTAATTTATATTTGCAAATGTCACATTTTCTTGACTTAGTTTCAATTGTAAATCTCTTGTTTTTGATAAAATATTTTTTTTCCAGAAGAAAGGCCAACAAATTGTAATTTGTAGTCATGGTAACCCTATTTTGACTCGTGCACTGTCTTCTTTCACTTTTAGGTTACACAAGGCTCTGGACTGGTCCAGCTGTGGAGAGATGAGGTGGAACACCAGACCTGCAATGGTCCAGTCTGTAAATGATTCTCTGACGTCTGGTAAGATGCACGACATCCTGCTTCACTGAAACGAGCTCGTTACCTCAACCACATAGACTGAACTTCTTGAGGACGTTGTCCAATGTATAATAATGCCTTTAAGCATTTTTATTTGTTGAGTTCTCTGCTTGGTACATTATTTTTCTTTCTTTTTTTGTTTGTTTGTTTGTTTAAACAATTTAAAACATGACAGTGATGTCAATGTTTAAAGGAAACAATTGCTCAATAAATGAGTAAAATGCAACTTGTTATGTTTGGGTTCTTTCATCTAAGGTAGACATGGTGTGACCCATGGACTGGTTTAGATTTTTTTGTTTTTACTGTAACTGGCCTTCAAAAGAGCTGGAAACAGGGACCCAGCATCTGATCCTCCGTAGAAAAATTATATGGACTACAGGCCATGTATTATTTGTTTTATGATATTTAGTGAAGGTTTTTGTTTGGATTAAGGAAATAAATGTCTCTATTTCACCACAGATGAACTGTTCCTGTTGACATATCTTTTGAAATAAAACTACAGAAAACAGAGTAATTTAAACAGGAGTGGGTAGAAGATCAAATCAAATTCAATGTATTTCCTAAAAATTTAATGCAAAACAGGAGCAGGACAGGAGTGGGAGTGATTCTGAACAGGAGCAGGAGTCATGTTACCAGGAGTGGGACAGGACAGGACAGGATTAATTTTTTTACTCTGGACCAGGAATGGGACAGGACAGAATTTTTTCTGTGGGACCAGGACAGGACATTAGTGAAAATCCACTCGTGTGTCATCCTCTAGTTCAGATGTACTGCATTTTAACCCTGCTCTGAAAAGCATCACAAGCTCATTCAGATCGAGGGTGATAACCTTGAATGGGTTTTATCCTTTTCCTCATAATTCTGAGGAGGAAGCAACATCTCACCTCCTTCTGTCCCATGCACGCATTTTTCATGTTACTTGGTGCACACGGCTGCACTGCGCCGCTTTCAGCGTATGCTTGTGCAATACTGGGACAGCTCTTCAGGACGTCCTCTATCCACCCAGCGCCTCTCACACTGGTTGTGTGAGGCTATTTGTGAAGTTTACAGTTCATCTGGACTGGATCCGCCAGAGAATCTCAGCGCATTCCACCAGAGGGTTTTCATCCTCCATGGCTCTGCATGGAGGATGACAGTGGAGGATATTTGTATGGTGGCTGCCTGGTCATCGCCATGTTCAATTGTTCGTTTTTATCTAGGTGATGTTTCTACTTTCTCCATGACCCATTCTGTTCTCAGGGTTCTGACAGAATGATTATTTGTTTCATGGAGCCTCACTTTTGAGTTCACACCTGCCTGCATGCAGTCGCAGTGTGAAATATTTATTATCAGTCACAAGTTCATGACTGCTGATTTTATTGTTATTAACCGGTTCATCCTGAGGAGCTGTTGGTCTGCTCTGTTTATCGTTGCACTGTTACAATTCGTATCCTCCGTTGTTCCTATTCAGGTCTGCTATCTCAGCCCTTTTTTTTTTTCCTCAGCAGAGATCTTCTCCGGTGCGCTCCTGCGCATGGAGCACGCAATTACGCAGCGCATAATTACACACACAGAAGGCTGAGTGATGAAATGTTTTTTTTGTGCAAGCAGGTACTTCATGTTGTGTCTGAGTGGACCCAGTGAGGCATAGACTACATCCTGCTTCGCCTTTAACCCACCAGCGACAGTCTTAAAGGGCGAAGCCTATACGAAATAGAACGTTGGTTACGTACTGTAACCCCAGATTCTATGAGTATAGGCATAGCCCTTTAAACTCTGTGCCTCACTGGTTCCTAAATGGCTGAAGAAAAAAGCTATTTGGGAGCCGATTACCTGGTCTCACCGTAATCTATATGGACCGGGGATGAGGCCCACACACAGCAGGTGGGTGTGGACTAAAGTTTTTCAGTGCAGCGCTAAGCGCCTTAGGGATAAAACCCACCAGCGACAGTCTTAAAGGGCTACGCCTATACTCATAGAATCTGGGGTTACAGTACGTAACCAACGTTTTCCTTTTCTTCGTAAGAAGAAGCGCAGAGTGACAGGAGGGAGCAGTTTGATCCATCACCAGGTGCAGTGGTGGACTCAGGGGGTGACCAATGGTGTCCTTGGCCACCATAGAATAATCTTCAGCCACACCAGTCCCTCATTTGAAGGAACTCACTACTGACTCGACCCTCATATAACTCAAAACCCATTTGTTCAAATTAGCCTTCTTGCTCTAATTTCTTAGAAATTTCTGCTTTAATTTTTAATATGTGCTTTTTTTTTTTTAGATGGATGGAGGGTATTTCCAATTCCCCCTCTTCGCTCAGCAATGGGGACAATAATACAAAGTCTGCATGTTTACTACAGTTTGCCCAACAAGTGAAAAGTCCTGTGAAGCTGTATGAGCTCACCCATCATTCAGAAAGTAGCACTGCCAGGTAGCCATGCTGTCCTCCACAGAGGTAACAGTCCTCTGCACCCCAAACACCTCCAGGACCTCCTCTCCCACCTCCAGCTGCTTCACACCCAGCTCACTCTGACCACAGAGCAGATAAATCATGCAGGTTTATCATTCATGATGTCAGTGATGATCCTGACAGACTTGCATGGCTGGAACTGCTTACATATGTGGAGTGGCTGATGCCGAACTTCTGGTCCAAGGAGATGAAGGTCACGTTCTCGGGAACCTTCTTCCTCTGAGCCATCAGACGCATCAGCAGCAGGCTGGAGCCCTCAGTGACCAGTCCTCTCAGGACAGACATGGGATAAGACATGCTCTCTTTTGTCTTTTCCTTGAAACACAAAGACACAAAACAACCACTACCTGCAGTAACTTCACATCAGCTGGTTTATGGGCGTCCCAGTGTGTGAGCATGAGTGAGGCAGCTGTTCAGGGTTGCTGCTAACCAGCTCGTACCTCTGCCACCGTGGTAACTTTATCGATCACCATTTCTCCGTCACACTGCACCATGCGACACCTCTTGTCCACATTGTGGCCCTCAAGCTGGAAAAGTTACAGATGTGTTATTAAAACAAGTCTGAGGTGGTTGGAGAGGGCACGCTAAGTTCTCACAGTAAATATTGCTCTAGAGGGAATTAAAGTGAGATTAAGGGCTGCCAGAGGGAGTGTCCCAAGGGCCCCTTTTGGCTCTAGGACCTTATGTTGCTCACATCAGACCTAAATCAAATTTCATTTTTAATGGCTGCTAAAAGGTTATTTTTGGCATTTGTCACAAGAATAAACAGAAGTCATATGTGGATAAAAACAGAATGATAGCTGTTTGAGGGGATTTGGGAATAGCTGCAAGAAGAAGAGCAAGAAGAAGATGAAGAGGAATAAGATGAAGAGCAAGAAACAAAAGGAAAAACGAAGATGATGAAGAATAAGTATTAGTGTTATCATGATCTTCTTTAAAAGGCTCATAAAGGACAACAGAGACTCACCTTGATGTACTCATGGTGTTGCTCCTCCAGCACTTCCAGTTCAGCACTGAGGTAAGCTTATACAGTCAAAAATGGCAGAATGAAGGCATGAAGAGGTGTGCTGTAAAGTCATCTGTCAATGTAAAACACTGGGAGTCATCTCACCTGTCACTGATGTCCCACAGGGGTGACCATCAATAACTCCCTGGCTTTGAGCTCTCAGCAGCATGCAGGGTTGCTGGAGTCTGCAGGAGAACTCCACGGTCACCCTGAAGTCCCCCAGGTGCCCCCCGCTCTCGGACACAGTCACCAGAGACTCTGGAAACACACACTTCTGCAGCTCTGCAGGCTCTGGCAGAGGAGCAGGGACATGAGACATGACTGACACCAAATATGATTCAATAAACGAGAAGCTCTCCTAAATCTGCCATCTAAGGGGAGATAATAAATTACTTTGTTTTTTTAAACACTTATTTATTTATTATTCATGGCCCTGCACTGCATTAACTTTTGATTTATTTAGATTTAATTAGATTTTGTTACGTTGACTATAGGTGCTCTACATGTGAGGGTTGGTGTTGTTGGCAGTTTTGCTCATAAATACTTAATGTTTATTATAACATGTCTACAAAGATCGTCGTGCGGTTACATAAACTATAAAAGATATTCGTTAAAATCTGTCAGATGACAAACATTACGGTGATAATAGTTGTTGAGATGAGTAAAACGCCCTACTTGGCAGATACAGTCAACCTACCGATGGCCGACAGGAACGTGGAGGTTTCTTCAGCAGCCTTCACCTCCTCTGAGCATTTGGCTTCTTCACCTCCTGCTGTGGCTCCCGTACCGTCGTCCGTCGAGGCCTCCATGTTGACGCTCCAGAGCCAAAACAAATCCCTTTATCGCTTAAATATATTCATGTATTTAATAGATAAGTAAGTCACACAAAAAATAAAGGTTTTAATTTTCCAGAAACCTCGTTTTTTTTTTATTTCTCCCGAGTATCTCTTCAGATGCGCGTGCTTGTTGATCCGTGTTGTCATGGCAACAACGCCGCTGTAAAGAACGTAATAACTGCGCAGTTGAATTTATAATTTCAGTCCAATTTACTCAATTCGGTTTATTTATACATAACCAATACAAAACAAACGCGGTCTCGGACACTGTACAAAAACATTCACATACATTATACAATTTGTAAAGAAAATTCTATCGAAGAAAGCCAGCAGATTGCGTATCTTTTGTGTATCTTTCATGACCTTTTAGTTACTAATGCGCATGCGTACAATTCTTTGCCACACCCCCAAATAGTTTCATAGCTGTCCTTTACGCCTGCTTTTTATTGACTTATATGGACAAACTTATTTGTAAACTAGTTTTATTGGTATTTTACGTTGTGAGCGCAATGTGCAATGTTGCTGGGTGTCTGAATGACTGCAGAGCAGCTGAAACAGCGAACCGAGTCTAATTCAATGAACCGGAAGTACGCTTAAAATTATATAGACCACAATGCAATGCAAAATACTGACTTGGGCCAAGAAGGCAAGAAGGGGTCTCTGCAGGCAAATTCGGAAGGCGTATCTGGGCGCTCATATCTGATTGGACTATAGGAAAGTGGGCGTATCTGGGCGGTCATATCTGATTGGACGATAGGAAAATGGGCGTTTCTGGCGGGCCGGATCTGATTGGACGATAGAAAAATGGGCGTGTCTGGACGGCCACATCTGATTGGACGATAGAAAAATGGGCGTGTCTGGACGGCCACATCTGATTGGACGATAGAAAAAAAAAGGCTGAACGATAGAAAAAAAAAGGCTGAACGATAAAATGCCGTAACCACAGACACATGATGTCTAAAAACAAGGCGTTATTGGCAGATTGTGTTAACCACAGGCATATTATGTCTATGGTGTTAACCGGTTCGACATTAGCGGCGTCTCGGTTCGACATTGCTCCAGTATACTGCCGCGGCGTCTCCATAACTTCTTTTTTCGACTCTCTTAACACAGAACTTCCGGTTACATTTCAAAATAAGAGCAACATAACTGGGTAGTGGGGAGAGCTAAATGTTAGGGTTTTTTTTTAATACCTAGCCATAACATTAAAAAACAAATTCCATTTTGGTTGTTGAAAAATGTGAACAAAGTTACAATCGATTCATAAAGAAAGAAAAATATTAATGATACTTAAACTGGCCTTGGGACAAAGGATGTTTCCTTTAACTTCACATTTTCTTGTTCAACCTGCAGTCACTGCAGATGAGTGATTTGTCAGTTTCTGTAAGATTTCTGCAACTGGAGCAGGTATTTCTGTTTACTGGTTAACTTCCTCAGCTGTCTCACATTTTAAAGGTCAACCCTACTCCATGTTTCAGTAGAAAACCAGCACATTTAGGAGTCAGTACATACCCAGACTTTTGGCCCTCACACCTGTACCCAGTTGCTTATGCTGCATGATGAGATCAGATTTATCCATATTTTAGAAATTACATTTAGCTTAGTTGACAAAACAATACAAATGAAGACCGTCTTAAAAAAACTCTTGGTTTTGCAGTAAGCAGCCTGATTTCAAACTGACATCTTGGCCAAAGGTAAAATAAAAATATTTGTGTTCTCAGAAAAGTTGTTTCAGGACCTCCAATAAACTTATGTACACATCAAAGCACACAAGACAGATTCAGGAATTCTCTTTGTTTTCCAGATTTCACATTTGTTATTACCTTAAAACATACTCAGACAACATTTGATGCATCATTGATTTTTTTTATTGTGTTTATTGGGACATCCATTTCTAGAAGTCATCGTAGCATCTGTTGGAAACACAGAACATAGTACAGTTAGGGTGTTGCTAGTTGTTACTTAATCCTGGATTGGATTTTAAAGTTAATTTTGATATTTTTTTCACAAGGAAAAAAAAGTTGATTTCCTAAAGTTTAACTATAAATGAAGGAATTTGTACATTCAGGTAATTGAAAATTAAGTAATTTCTCTAACATCCAACCCATTTTAGCCACTGAGCCATACCAAACACCCATAATCTATTCTTGAATGAATTATTGACTATTATTGACAAATTACAGACTTTTTATTGAATAAGTTATTACTCATTATTGAATCATTGACAATTTACACTCATGTTTGTGTTAACTCATGTTGCAACAAGATCAGCAACTTTTGACTATTACTATGAACTATGTTAAACTTTGGAGGTGATTTATTTTGAAAGTCAACATCAGATGTTGGTCAACATTGTTGAGCAACATCTTGGGGTCTTGTAGAGTCAACCTGAAGTGAGAGTGGTTCCTGACATGGCAGAAAGACATAGATATAATTAACAGCTTTTATTTATTTATTTTTCAGCTAATAACAACTTTTATTTATTTGTTTTTCATATTTTTCAGTTATACTCAGCTTTTAAATATTTATTTTTCAAGTATTAAGAACTTTTATTTTCAGCTTTTATTTTGAAAAGCAACACCCAGTTGTTGTAAACGTGCACAGTGAGAGCTGCTGTGGAGGCTCACTTTACCTCAGTGCGTTACGACAACAACGAGAGAACGGTCGAAACTGTCGTGACCTACAATAAACGTACTTCAATAAAATGCATAAGTGAAAACATAACATACTTTATATGTACAATAAATCATATTTATTTGTCAAACATCGCAAAGAAACGTTACCTCATCAAAAATCCTAGTGACTTTGAGGGTTACCCACAGTGTTCGCCGCCGACAAACGCCTATTAAATACTGTTAGCCAATCAGTGTTCGCCGCCCGTAAACGCCTATTCGCCAGAAACGCCCACTTTTGGTCTGCAGAGACCCCCTTCTCACTTGGGCATGGACATTAGTAACTGTAACAAGGTTAATAAATGCAATATTTTATCATGAGCAGCACATAGGGGACAGTGGAAAGAAAAACATCATGAGATGTTTTGAGATGAGAGGGAAAACTAAATCTTACAATTGAATAAAACAATGGAAATAAAAATGCAAAGGAGTTGTAATTGTTTATCTTCATCGGTTACATCACTTTGTAAAAAACTATGCTCTCAAAAGGGGAATTTAAATACTATTTAGAAAATTTTATTTACAGTATAAAATATGGATTTTTAGTTTAGGAATAAATATAAAATATAATACAAAACAAACAACAACAATAAAAGAAGAAAGCTGACACCAACCAACAAGAACAACCGTTTGATCTTTATTTTCTGGTAGAATAAAAAAGTTATGTTATTAAAAATATGACTGGAAAATATAAGTCAAAGTTAAAGTTTCTTTATTTGTCATGTGGTGAAATGACATTGTGTACACAGGGTCCCAGCTACATCCAATAAAAGTATGAAATGTAAAAGAAAAACAGTAATAAGATCTAAGATATGAACTAAGAAAAGCATTAAACTAAAAACACACCAAGCACTAGTAGTACAAAAACAATATAAATATGTATATAATATAAACGTTCACAAAAGAAAAAACTTTCAAAAACCTTATCCTGAAATGAAAATAATCTTGGCAGGAGCTGTGACGGCGAGGTTTCAGGTGTGATGTGGCGACAGCAGGAGCCTCCTGGTCAGTGTGAATCTCACTTCAGGTATCTGTTTGACCCATCCGGGTTGAAGGAAGCCCTCCTTCTGACCCACCTGCCTGTTCACATGGTGGAAGATGGAGGTGAAGTCCTCACCCCTAACATTATGGACAAAAGATCATCACTGTCATTGTTTTCACATAGAGTTAAATATTACCACTTGAGGGCGCTCTGCACATCACACCCATCCTTTATATTTATGACATGTGGAGAAGCTAAGATGGCATCCAAAACGGACACTCACAGCCAAAAAAACAACTTCAACAGCAAGCCCAACTGGATCAGAGCTACAAATTATTCTCAATATCTTTACAATAACTTCAACTGACACTGCAGTTGTTGGGTGTGTGAAGGATGGACAGGAGCAGGACAGGACCCTGGTTGAGGACTTTGTAGTGTGGTGCAAATCCAACCATCTACAACTGAACATAAGTAAAACAAAGGAGATGGTAGTGGACTTCAGAAGGTCTGGACCTACCCTGAAGCCACTCTCAACTGAGGGGGTCAATGTGGAGGTGGTCAGGACCTACAAATATCTGGGCATACAACTGGATGACAGGCTGGACTGGTCAGTGAACACTGACTCCCTCTACAGGAAGGGTCAGAGCAGGCTCTACTTCCTGAGGAGGCTTGGGTCCTTCAGTATCTGCAGGAAACTTCTTCTGATGTTCTACCAGTCTGTGGTAGCCAGTGTCATCTTCTGTGCTTAAATCCTATAGTTAGGGTCGGCTTGGGTTTCCTGAGCTGTCCCTTAGTTATGCTGCTATAGGCTTAGACTGCTGGAGGACAAACTGACCACAATTTTCACTCTGCTACTGTCTTTACTTACTCTGCTCAACCTGTTTTTGTATTTGTAATAATTTTTTTCTATCCTTAACATGTGTTTTTTTTTTTTTGTCTTTCAGATACACCTGGACCTATACCTGGACCTACCATTCTGTGTTCGTCTGTCTCTCCTTCCTGTCCTCTCAACCAGCCGGTCAAAGCAGATGGCCGCTTGTCCTGAGCCTGGTTCTGCTGGAGGTTTCTTCCTTTTAAAAGGGAGTTTTTCCTTTCCACTGTTGCCACTGTGCTTGCTCAGGATGGGAGACTGCAACAAAGCCAAGATTCAACTTGTCTGCTGAATTCTTTAGATAGAGAACTTTACTAATTGGCTTTTATGTATGTGAATGTTTCTGTAAAGTGCCCTGAGACAAATTTGTTGTGATTTGGCGCTATATAAATAAACTGAATTGAATTGAATTGCTGCTGTGTGTTGGGGAGGCAGCATTAAGAGGAGAGATGCAGGGTGACTGAAAAGGCTAGTGAGGAAAGCTGGTTCTGTGCTGGGAACAGAGCTGAAGTCCCTTACATCAGTGGCAAAGAAAAGGACCCTCATGATCATCATGGCCAATGATGACTCAGCAGGGCACCATCATGAAGCAGAGGAGCTCCTTCAGTGGTAGACTGCTGTTCCAGAACTGCTCCATGGACAGATTCAGAAAGTCCTTCGTCCCTCAAGCCATTAGACTGTTCAACTCCTCCCCGTACAGTAAAGATAGAGCCTTGTAAATCTGTAGCACCACGGACACTTATGTATGTGTATGTATACATACACATCTGGGCATATATGTATATGGAGCTACAGATTTACAAATATATATATATACATATCTATGTTTGCATGTACATATGCATAATCAAGTCTCTCTTGTAAATAAGTACTCGAGGCTCAATGGGATTAACCTGTCTAAATAAAGATTGAATGAATGAATATGTGTATATATGTATGCATATGTGTGTGTATGCTTAGATGTGTATGTATGTATATGGTACATATACAGGTGCTGGTCATAAAATTAGAATATCATGAAAAAGTTGATTTGTTTCAATAATTCCATTCAAAAAGTGAAACTTGTATACTATATTCATTCATTACACACAGACTGATATATTTCAAATGTTTATTTCTTTTAATGTTTTATTATAACTAATGAAAACCCCAAATTGTTACTGTTTCACTCCTCTCATCACGGCTCTGACCTACTCTTCTGGATAAATTACTAGGTCTCTTGGATTACCCTCTTGGAATCAATATTGGACCTCTGCCTCCTTGGTACCTACTCTCTGCTCTACTCCTGGATATTGCCTCTGGATCTCCCCAAACTACCTCTCTGCGACAATCCTGCTTGCTATGGTGAAATCACCCTGTCCAACTCTATCAGGTGGAACTCATCTCATCTGAATAAGGTTAGTGGATGCTCTTCTGTTCTCAAGTCTCGTCACAGAATCCTTCAGTCCACTAACCTCTCATACCTCTGCAGATTGGGCTCGCTCCAGGACTTCCACCAGCAGTGTTTATTTAATAAAGTCTTTAAACCATTCCTGTTGCCAGTGTCAGGATTTGCTAGGAGATTCCGGCGGGCGGCCGTGAGGCTGTCCATCAAACCGGGCCAGGTCAGGGGGGCGGCCGGGAGGCCGTCCAAAACACAGAACCAGAGGGAATGCAGCATGCGTCGGAGAGTCCTGGGGAGCTGCAGCATGCGTCGGAGAGTCCTGGGGAGCTGCAGCATGCGACAAGGAGACCTGGGGAGCTGCAGCATGCATCAAGGAGACCTGGGGAGCTGCAGCATGCGACGGAGAGACCTGGACGGAGAGGCCTGGGGAGCTGCAGCGGACGACGGAGAGGCCTGGGGAGCTGCAGCGGACGGCGGAGAGGCCTGGAGCTCTGCAGCAGACGGCGGAGAGGCCTG